CAAATGGGTATTCGGGGAAGGCACGTATGAACTCGGAACCTTAGAAGGGAAGTAGGTACCACAAGAATGGAATATTAATAACCTAAGAAGGTACTACTCATGAACTTGCAACCCAAGGATGATGGACTGGAGAGAGGACTGCGAGTCACTCCCAGAAGCCTACGGGCTATGGCATCGAGCTAACAGAAGAACTCAGCACTGAGACAATTCCTAGTCGCCTCTTCGGCATAGGCAGACAAGTCCTAGTCGCCTCTTCAGCATAGGCAGACAAGTCCCAGTCGCTTCTTCGGAATAGGCAGGCAAATCCTAGTCGCCTCTTCGGCATAGGCAAACAAGTCCTAGTCGCCTCTTCGGCATAGGCAAACAAGTCCTAGTCGCTTCTTCGGCATAGGCAGACAAGCCCTACTCGCCTCTTCACCTAGGCAGACGAGTCTTAGTCGCCTATGAGGCATAGGCAACTCGAGTGCAAACCTTACGGTGTCTAGTTCACCTTGGCRTACAACAACGTAAGGTTAATCCCACACGGAGCCGAGCTCGTTAGCTCGACACTTAGAGATAACCAACACTTAGGCAAATAAGCAACCCAAGCATAGACAGTTCGGGTATGTACCCTACAGTGTTTGATCGTCTTGGCAGCAACCTATACTTAGGAAAAGTTCGCTCCTATTTGGTTTATCTCGCCAATTCGGGAGTAATCTATACTTAGAATTTTTTTTTGCACATGAAGATTGCCAAAACACTTATATTTCATTAATGTAGAATTCTAAGTACAAAAAAAAACTACTATAACCAAGCTCGGAGGCCCGGGATGTACATTGCACATAAAGAGGTCCAAGAAAAGAGGCAAGGTTATACATCCGATTTGCCAGGTAGGTCGGTTTCCATGCGATCCTCCTCCACGTCCTCTCGGCTTGCCTCTCCTGACGGCCCCGCCTCAAGGAATTCATCTTCGCTTTCCTCTTTGGAGGAGTCGGGTTCTTCATTAGCCGCCTTCGCCATCTCAGGAGTGACATCCGACATGGAAACAGCTTCGAGGTCGAGCTCGGGAAACTTCCACTGTATCAGCCACTTGCAAAGTTTGAAACTGGACCGATATGAGCTTGATCCGTACTCAACCTAGAGATTGTGAAACTCCAGAGACCTTGAAATCTTCGACGACACGCTCTCTCTCCTGAGCCCGCGCCTCCTGGATGGCGGTGTCAAAGATCTCAGTGTGCTCCTTGATCATCGCATCGAGGTTCTTGATCTCGCGCATGAGTTTCTCCTTCTCCTCTGTCAGTACAATGATCAGCTCCTGCTGGCTCCGAGCTCCCTTCTTAGCTCGAAGAACCTCACCCCGAGTTAAGTCCAGCTCGCGGTAAAGTTTCCGAGCGTTCTCCTCGGCTTCCCGGGCTCGCTTCAAGCGAATCTCGGACTGGTAGACAAGTAAATGAATGGCGGAGTTCACCTGGCGAATAGAAAGCAGATGTAAGTATCATTAACAGATGAATAAGGAAAGAGAACAAAAGGGCGAGGTACTCACCACCATGCAGTAACTGGACACCTTGCCCCCAAGCTAACTTGTGGACATGTCAGCCCATTCTGTGACTTCTGCAGGGAAAAACGACATCTTTACTCTTGAGGAGCCCGAGCCGCGGGGTCATTATGCTCTCCTTCGAGAGCTGAGGCTCGGGCACTGAAGCACCCTCGGGCTCGCGAGGTGGAGCTCCTTCATCCTGGTCTTCGTCCAGGTCCACGACTAGAGGTTGGGGACGAACCTCCTCCTCCGGGAGCTCGGTCGAGATCAGCTCCGGTGCAACGACCTCGGGTTGGGCGGGAACTGAAGGATCGACCTCCCGACGAGACTTTTTTGAGGCCTTCCTCTTCTTCCCCCTCTGGACGCTCTTCAGAAGGTTTTCTGCATCGACGTCTGACATAGCTTCTACAAGAGAAAATGGAAGAAGTTAGTCACGAGCCAAAGTAAGTACAAAATAAGAAAGAGTAATATGAGCGCCGAGGTGGAGGCCTACCAGGAGGACTCAGCCCAACTCGTACAAGCTTCTCCTTGGCCAAGAAATCTTTCATTTCCAAGCCGAGGTCCCTCCAGGAATTAACAACCACCCTAGTCTCAGCATCTAACCTCACCCCGGGGTCCTTGATGGCCACTCGCCAGTGAGTCAGGAAGGGCCACCCCTTAGGGTTCTGGACGAAAAAGTACCTCCTCTTCCAAGCCGGTACTTTGTTCGAGCTACCGAACAGGATTTTGAACCCAGGGCGGGAGAAGATCGTGCCAACCCCCCGCGCAGGCAAGCGGAGTTCTTCTTGATCGAGCAGATCAAACTAAAGGTGTCTAAGGAAAGAGGTCGGTTATACTCGTGGAACAAAGAGATCGTGCAACTTTGTTTCGGATGGAGTTTGGGTGTAACTGGTCAATGGTAATGTCAAAGAACTTAATAATCTCTATGATGAAAGGGTGGAGTGGGAAGCGCAACCCAGCTACGAGATGTTCCTCAAAAACCACGAGCACATGGTGACCATGAACCCAAGGGTACCGACCCAAAGGAATACTAAAATTAAGGGTGCCGAGAAGACGATAACGGGCTACCAAGGACAGTAATCTGTCCGAGGTCATCGTGGAAGGCCGAAGTCATCCGGATCCCGACCCCGAGAAGAAGATGGGACCCCCTCTCTGGAGGTCGGTCCCTCTACCTGAGCTTTAGGTTCCTCGGGCCGAGATGGCCCGACGTCGGGTAAGGGTGTTTTTCCTAAGAGGTGAAGAGAGGAACTCTCAAGTGAAGAGCTGACCTTGCCAGTGAGAGCCGAGGACCGCACCTCGGCACCCTCAGGCTCACTAGAATCACTAAGTAGCCTATCTATACTAGCACTAGACATACTGGAACAGGAAAAGGAAAGGAGAACAAATTAATGAAAGAAGACGAACTCACCAAAAGGACGAAAACAACCTCAGACACAAAGGAAGGAGTGGCGAGCTGAAAGACTCCGATGCGACCTCAGGAGAGCTCAATCACAAGATTTTTGCCAAAGGAAAGGGGCACCTCGGTCTCCTATTTATAGTTCACCACATGGCGATCAACAACTGAGACTTGTGCGATCCAACGACTCCCATGAAAATCGGCAGCACGATACCTGAGGACGAAATCGATTGAGCGCGCTCTTTGACATCCGCRGAATCTATAAACCGCGTGACGTCCGCGCATGCCCGAGACGCGGCCTGGGTTATTTCGTGGTTAAGCCAGACGGTTGAACAGGCCCGACCAACAGTTCGCTCTCCAAATTGACTAGACCTCGTGCCAAATCCACCTAAGCCCTTAATGAACTCCTCGCACCAGGTTGGGACCCCTGGCACAAGGAGTGGGGGGCAATTGATGAAGGGTGATTTGGCACGACCTAACAGGAAGGGGACATGYAGGCACGATCTGATTGAAGGATGACAACTCAACCAAGCAAGCCCAGTTCGCAACATTCACAGTTCGGGTATCTAGCCACCTCAGCTCAAAACCCGCTTCGGTGTAGAGGCACCTCGGGTATCCAATCCAGTTTGGGACTGAAGAATTGAAGTTCCAGCTCAGAGCTAATGAGCCGAAGCATCGTATAACCAACTCCAAAGGCCTCCCTAACAGATCCCGAATCTCACGAGATCTTGGTAAGAACTCATCCCGGTTCTGCCTGAATCGAGGGTAGACGATAAGCCTCATCCACGTACTGCTCTCCTTCAAGAATGGAACCAACCTTATCTCTACAGCCCGGAGAACCTGGAGCTCTTTCGTGAAGCCCACGGCTACTCCAATATATAATAAAGACTCGAAATCTCAAGGCAAAGGTACGTGTGATTACTCTACTCACTAGCACTCAAGCTCTCAAGCATTCAACTCACATTCACAGCGTAATTACTGACTTAAGCATCGGAGCGACCTCACTGGGTCAATTACCCCGGGTTCTCTGATAGACTGTTTTGTAGATCGATCCAACTCGTCGTCCATCTGAAGTCCGGTTTGCCTTCTAGATAGGAGTAGTCAGATCGCGCTCCATCAATGAGGACAAAATCATATACCCAAAACTAATTTGGTTTGGTTTGGTCGATCTGGTAGAACCAGCTCATTATAGCTCTACACATATACATACATGCCACATACTTCTATGTATATATACATAAATACTCACACATAAATAAATGYTTTTTATAATTTTCATACATAAAACTATGAAACAAATATGTAGCAAAAGAAAGAAAAATGAAGCAAAGTATGTTTTGGGTTGGGGAAGGCATCAAACCTAAGGCAACTAGGAATGGYAACAACATAAGGCGGGGATCGGGAACCACTCTCCATCCCCGTCCCCACAAAAATCCCTATTCCCGTTCCCATCCCCATCCTTGCCGGTGGGGACAAGGTTAATTATCTTCATTCCCTGCATGATTTTCTTATTATGTCAGTCATTTTGTTTTTTATTTCATTTAAAAACAAAATACTTAAAATTTATAATCTTTTAAATATATTCAAACATATTTTTTTTAAATATTAATATAAATACATGCATAAATATAAGGTGAAGATTAAAGAGCCCCATAGGGTGGGAGGTACTCTCCCTGTTCCCACCAATTGGAATGAAAAWTTTCCATACATCCCTATCCCCACCCTGAAACGTCCCCACAGTAAGGGAAATGGAAAAAATTGCCGTCCCTATCTCAGATTCATATCTTTCAACCCTAAACCTTAATCCTAATTTCAATCCGACCCCAACCTAACCCCAAAAAATGGGATTGGGTTTGGGTCAACCGACTCAACCCAGCCTAAGTTGAAGCCCTAATGCCCCACAACCACCACCTCGCCTGCATTACTGACATGGGGTGTTATTAACATATTATTGACCAAACAGCTCTTTAACATAGCCAATAATTGCACCTAACCCAGGGTGACTATCCATATCCCAGCTAGGCCTCTAATTTGATGGCAATTGTTTGCTTTGACCTGGTCTCATGGACGGGTCCTGATAACATACATACCCATATTTAGCATCGACCACAAGGTTGTGAAGCTAAATCACAAAAGACGAGCTAATTACTGGTTACTTTTGTTATCATTTTTGACGAACCAAAGAAAATGGCAACCTAAATTTGTATCTGGGTTGCTAAATTTTCATGCCAAACGCCCTCCTGTAGGCTGAGAAGAGGTGGTGGTGGCGGCGGCGGAGGTGATAGTGAGATGGAAAGGGGCTCCAGAACCGGAAAAGCACCGACAAAGAAGGTGATGCTAGTTGCCAACGGCAGCCGTGAGTCGGCCGATGCACTCCAGTGGGTTCTTTCTCATGGCCTGCTGGAGAACGATGAGCTGATCCTCCTCCATGTGGAACAGCCATCCTCATGGAAGCGCAACGCTCTGGCAACCTTCCGCAGAAGACCGTCGTTGCCGGTAGCTGCCACCAGCACATCCGGATCCGCTGCGGAAGGTGGTGGAGACCTTGAGTTTCTTGAAGAGATGAAGAGTGCATGCGAGGCGGCTCAGCCCAAAGTCCGAGTGCAGGTAGAGAGAGTGGAAATAGAAGGCAAAGACAAGGCCGCTACCATTCTTCGGCAAAGCAGGAAGCTCTCCATCGATACCCTCGTCATTGGCCAGCGTCGTTCCCCCACATTCTTAGGGTGAGAGAGCTCTTGAATATTGAATTCAATATTTATAAACCACACCACACCAATGGTTTCAAGTTCGGATGGTCGAACCGGTTACCCTATGACCCGGGATTCTGGAGCCCTGGACAGCTGACCTGGTCCAATTTTTAATTTTCTTCATACTTTTGATCGTTACAACTAACCAACCGGTTGAACCACTAAACTGCTGGCTTGGACAGATCTATGACTGGTTCTACGTACATTTTGGTCGTTTTTTGATATATTGCCTAATTAAAACATAAGCTACAAGGCATAAGAAAATATAAATGCAACCCTTTTTTTTATTGGTTGAATAACCTCTTTTTAAGGGGTGAACCAAGTACTGAAGTTGCCATTAACATAATTCTTTGTTGGAATCTCCTAGGGGATTCTCCAGTGTGATTTTTTCTTTTCTTGTTTTGAGTTTTAAAGATAAATTAGTTCTTCAAACAAAAAAATGAAAAACTTATTCTTGATTGTATATGTTTTTTCATTTCCAAAACTGAAATGAAAAACATATTCTTGAATTTCAGGTTTGAAGAGCGTGTTTTTTATCTAATGGTCTCCCATCATCTTCCATAAACAATACCTCTACTCCAAAATTTGTTTTTATTTCAAAAACCATCATTTTGATGATTTGAAAAACATGGTTTATCTTTTGAAACAAAACCAAAATGTTTTATATATATATATATATATTTTTTTTTTCATCAAAACAAAAACATGTAAAAATGCAGTTCAAGTACATGTTTTTGTTTTTAGGTGATGGGTCAATTTCAAAAGCAAATGAACAAAAAACATTCATGTCATAGAACATCCCCTAAATGAGTATCTATTTATGAGAGAATCAAGTCGGCCCTCATTTGGGGAAAAACCATGTTGACCACTGAAATGAGCTAAAGTGAACCAATGAAACTGGGATCTTTTAGTGGTAAGTATGATTATAAATTGAAGAAAGAAAGAAAGAGTTTAGATATGAGAACACAGCTTGTTTTCATTTGAGAAAAAAAAAATGACCATCATATTCTCCCTCTGGCTTTGGCTGAAGTAATAAAAACCACTTTGAGTAGATACAACTTTTTGATAGGTCGCCTAGAGGTTGAAGCTTATAGATGAAAGACCACTTTTCATCAACATTAATTTGCCTTTTCCAAGTTGAGTCTCTGAATGGATCTTTCTTTAAATTCAGATGTACACTAGGCCCAGGAGGAACAAAGGCGATGGATATAGCAGATTATTTGATTGAGAATAGCAAGTGCACATGCATTGGAGTTCAAAAGAAGGGACAGAATGCAGGGTATGTTCTAAACACAAAGAACCAAAAGAATTTCTGGCTTCTTGCGTAGCCTAAGGCCATTGAGCTCCTTCAAGTCATCTGGGCTTTCATCTAAGTCACCCAGTTCATCACAATTTTGCTGGAGTTTGATCTTAGAAGAGAAGAAATAGCTTGTTTGTTTGGTCCTGAAACAGTTGGTAATCATGATGTGTCAGGAGTTTCAGAGAACTAGTTAACTGGGATCTCTTAGTCGCTATCCCTCTCCTCCTGGTTATGGATTCGATGGCTTTCTTATTCATGTTTTCTTTCAATTCTTTCTTTCTTTCTTTTTTTACTTTTTCTTTCAACTTCAACTTTAACTGCCTGAAATGTAAATAGTCCCAAGACTGAAGTAGATGATCTTTCTGATTCCTGGAACTTGGTTTATGAACAACTGTGTGTAGTGTGTATTGTTTGCAGGCATAGAGGTAAAAGCAAAAAGACATACCAACATACATTAGTTTCAATTTGCAAATGCAGAGAGTGCCATGTCACCCATAGATTGAATGGTTTTCATAGTTCAAGAAGGATTACGGGCATTAAACATGCCCAAAGAAAATGGTGAAAAATTTCCTAACCAATTACCAGCAAGCAGCAAGAGAAGAATATAGTACTCCAGTGCATAAATCTCCAGTATTTTATTCAAGAAAGGTTATGTCTTTCAGAATTGTTTATTCACCATTGCAAAAAAAAAAAAAAAARAAAAAAGAAAAAAGTATGAGCTTCAAATGTTAGTTACCTCGAAAATAAAAATACAAACTCATTTCAAATGATATAGAATCCATAAAAGTTAGTTATTATTTAGAAATAAAGCCTAGTTTAATCTCTTAAATTAAATAACAAATCTATATATCAAATAATATTCCATAAAAATAATTTAAATTTACAACATAAATAAATGCATATCAAACAAAATTTATCAGAACACTCGGCCTGTAGTTGTTTAAAGAGAAGTCATAGTATGTCTCCAAATTCTGGGTTGTTTCTGTCCAAAACCTGCCTTCTGATTGGAATATCTGTTGTACAGAGTTGATGATGAGCACATCCATGGAAAAGCTTCTCTATTCACCRGTGAAAAGTGAAAAAATTAGTAGAATAGCACTCTGACTTTTAACACTGGACCGGATGGATGTCCACAGGGGAATATATATTCATTCTTCAGCAGGAAAAAAAATATGAATGTCAATGATGTCAAACCAACCAAACTTAAATGTGTCACCATCACATGCTGGGAAGCTAGTCATGGGAGGGATCGATTTAGGCTTTTTGTGCACAGATCACAGAATAGGAACAGAAAAAGCTGTATTGGTTTGACAAAAAGAAATTAAAATTCAAACTTCAACTTGCATATGTTCCAAGGGGACATCTATATATGTTGGAACATGCAAAAGTTTTAAAGCCATCTTCAGCATCCCCTGATCTGGTTCCTCCCTGGCCAACCATCCTTGCCTTGATAGCAGAAGCAACTTTTCTCTGTAACTTGAGCAGCCCAATATGTTTTGAAACAACGTATAGAACAGCACAAGAGAACAAGATAAACCCAACTACAAGTACCACCCTATCCACAATTGTCATTTGTAAAAGAAATGAATATAAATGCTTTTCTTTTCTATACCTGTCAATAACACCCTGAAGTTGCATATGGAGAGTAGGTTTTGTGTTGGGAAAAGTATGGATAGGCCCAATTTAGAATTCTGAACTCCAGTCCAGTCGATACAGATTCGAGAAAGACATGTAAATACTTCTTTTTTTTGAAAAGTTGGAACAGATTCCCATGCCAAGTAAGCATTTTTATTGTGTCGATGAGGTGGCAATCCAACACGGATTCCATGTCACATTCTTCCATAATTTTTTTTTTTTATAATTCTGAAATTGCAATGACCCTGCTCAAGAAAAAAAGGGTCCATTGATCTCTTCTGCCCTTTCTCCTTCTCTTCCTCTCTTCTGGCCTTCTTTCCTCCCCTCTCACTCTCCTGTGTTCTTGTAAGTTGAGGATAAATGGTTCAAAACCAGACGCTCTCACTACATATCCTGAGCTATACACAAGTCTCAAACCAGTGTAGCTTCATTTCCTTCTCATTTTAGCAATCAAAACCTCTTCTCCCTTTGAACCAGTGTAGCTCCCTTTTTGTTCTTTCTTTCCATCATATTAGGGTTTCCTCCCATTTGATTGAATCCAAACCTAATAGATGCATTAGAACATCTCCATTGAACATCCGTGCTTTCAAGTTGGTGAAGGGTGGCTGCAACATCCTTGTCAACAAAGAGAAGTGAGCTACATTGAAGAGGGTAACAACAAATCAATTGCTGAAATACTACTATTTTGCAAGATTTATTTTAAGGTAATCTTATTTGATATAACATTAAACCCTACATACTAGATTGGTAAATTCTTCATTTTCAAATGCAACATGAACAACCAACAATTTCTATCATAAATTTAATTCCTTTGTTATGATTTAAGTAATCAAWTACGAGTAGGCATTTAAACCATAGTATATACTAAAGAAATGAAGGGAAGGATGATAAGGTTTTTCCTTTTCCAAATTCTAAATGTATCTATTAGAGAATTCTTATGTTGTCAAGAATGCGAAGGCTAAAATGCAAGGTAGTGTGATGTTTTTTCTTTACGAAAATGTTTTCTTTTGTTCTTTCTATGTGATCCTTTTTCTTTATGATTAAATTATGGTTCAAACATATATGTTTTGATGATTAATGATTCACATCCCTACAACCATCATCGCATCGTCCAATAAATGTTTGAACATTATAATTAACACATTTTATAGTCTACTATGAAATGTGTTATAATACCCTTTGCCAGCTTTTTGCACTTCCATGTCTATAATTTATCTTAAATTTCAAGAAAATCATCTTCAGATGACTATAGTTCTTGAGATGTGAACTAGAGAACTTTGGAATTCAATGAACTCTTAGATATCTCTTAAATATCTCTTAAATATACCTCTCAAATTGAGGTAGATTGTGGGTTTTCTTTTTCCCAATGATTCCATGGTGGTAAAATGAAGATAGTGCTTTATAATTTTCACTTGGGTTTCACAAAAGGAACATCAAGTATTGAAGAAGGATACAAGTTACAACGTATTGGTGGCACCTCACATACTATCCCAAACTTATCTTTGTTTCCCTAGCTACTAACCTAGTAAACCTTTTACGTAGCTTGGTATAAAGAGTTGGAATCATTAATGACCACTGTCTTATTCATTTCAAATTTATAATGGATCCTCTATTGTTGGAATATAGTAGTGAAGGGCAATAAAGGATGCCATGTCTTTGCTAATTAATTTAATTGACAATTCAGACCCGTCCCGGTAAACTTTTACTAGGATGACAATTAAGGAATACCATGCTAATGTAAAGAAGTTGAGTATACAACAACCTGCACTATTCTATGATATAAATCAAAATCTTGATACTACAACATAAAAGCTAGGGAAAATTCTCAATTAGTATCTTGTACTTTGGGCCTAATGTCACTTTGGTCCCTAAACTTTAAAACACGATAATTCAGTATCCAAACTTTCAAAACGTGCCAACACAGTACCTATCGTTAATCAGCCATTAACCAGCCTGACATTTGAAAAGACATAATGCCYTTCGAGTGGTCATCTAATTTTCTTAATTAACCATCCAAACGTTGACAAAAAATGAACAATCCCAAATCTTTTCCTCTTCTATTCAAGAAAGTTGGGGTTAGCATTTTCGTGACCCCAACTTTCTTGAATAGAAGAGGCAARGATTTAGAACTGTTCATTTTCTATCAACGTTTGGATGGTTGATAAGGAAAATTAGATGGCACTCAAAGGGCAATTCTCTTTTTAAATGCCACTTAATGGCTAGTAGTTGAGGTCTGCAAGAGCTTTAATGGGATTTTTCTGAGCTCTGCGAGAGGTTTAACACTCAAAGGGCATCTCTCTCTCTCTATCTGTTGGGATTTTTCTTGAGCTCTACGAGAGCTTTAATGGCATATTCTTGAAAGAGGTCCATCTCGCAAAGCTCTCGTAGAGGTACAATTGAACCTCAAGGGTCAAGGGTGGTCATTGATTTTGTAGGAAAATCGTCTCCTTCGACGCCATAATATCTCTGTCTATTAACGAATTCAAGCTCACGACGCAAATTTTCCTAAAGGAATTTAAGGATTTGCAGAAGGATCCTCCGACGTCTTGTAGTGTTGGCCCTGTAGCTAAAGACATGTTCCACTGGAAAGCAACATCATATGCGTTTTGAAGTTGTAACGTTGTTGAGCAGTTGAGCTTCACCGACCGCCCTCTAAGCTGTAATTCTACGATGTATGTCATTGATTGTGGCTGCCATCTTCGGCGTTTCGAAGATGCCCAACCAAATGACTGTTTGCTCTTGGGGGCAGGATTGTCTCCAAGGTGCAGCATTGATCTGGGGAAAGAACACCAGAATCTAGAATTCCATGTGAAACTGGATATACAATTATACCTTCATGAAAGCCTCTGGTGATGAGGCTTCCCATGTAGCCACAAGCGAAGAAGAAAAAAGAAAAGCCTTAGTATAGGAACCTCACTAGGATTTGATTTGATTAGATGTTTGGAACCGTTTATGTTTATTGAAAAAACGGCTCCACATCAGCGCCATATCAGCATCTGGTGGGATAAACGTTTTTTTGGCTCAAAAAACACGGTTTAGTGCGCCCATTTATTAAAAACCGCAAATAAATGTTTATTCATTTATTTACATTGGTTTTCGTACATATAGCCGTTGGGGGAAGCGAAAATTTCTCACTTCCTCCAACGGCTGGGCGTTTCATGAAACACCGACCTGAAGTGGATCCGATGTGGCCGCTGACGTGTTGTCTAGCAATGATGATCCGGTGCAACACGGATCTACCATTCTAAAGGTAGATCTTCTTCCTCACTCSATAACCTAACGCACCAAAGAGAAGAGCAGCTGCCGCCTAGAGGAGAACACCCGGATCTACCAATCCAGCGACGACCAAAGAGGGGATTTTTCACCGAAGGGAAGAGCATCTGCCGCCGGCGAGAAGGTCTTCGCTTTCTCCATTTTCTCCCTATTTTCTCTTTGCTTTCTCTATTTTCTCCCTATCCTCTCTTTGTTTTGTCTTTTCTCCCAACTTTCAGCAATATATCTGTTTTCTTTGAAGGTTTTAGAGAGTGTTGCCACATCTGAAGGTGTTTAGAGAGTATTGCCGCATATGAATGTTTCTCGCAGCCGGTATGTTCTCTGATGAARGGATGAGAGATCCATCATATGGATGGCTGAACCCTACACRAAGGTTGGACGAAATTTTAAAAAATTCTCTTTCTTCCATCTGGGAATCACATTCCCTATTTTAGAAAATTGCATTTTCAATAATCATTCTTGAAACA